ATGCTAATTATAATCTTTTTATACAGTTATTGATGCAGAAAATATAAAATATAATACTTTTAATATATCTGATGAAAGGATATAATTTATTTTATAAAAATATAGATGCCTTCTAAAATTTTCTTAAAATAATTTTATCATATTCTTTTCTATGTTTTTAATATAGTTTTAATAATTTTAGCTTTTATTATATCAAAAGAATTTTATTATATCCCTTATTATAATTTTAATATAATTTCATCTAAATTTTAACTGTTATTAAAAAATTTTATTTCTCATCTATAATTCAAAAAGATTTAAATAATAAGATTGTCAATTAAAAATTAATTTTATTTCTTATAAATTAAAAAGCTTTTAATACATATTTGATTACAGATTATAAATTTCTTAGATTTTGAAAATAATTCATTATTGAAAAAGTTTCTTATATATTTTCTTATTATTTAAGAAATAATTATTATGTTTATTTATCTGATTTTACTTTATATATACTAATTATTTTAAATAATTCTAAATATAATGCTTAAGGTATTTTACCTTTTGAACATAATAATAATATAATAAGTATAGCTAATAATTTTAGTTTTTTCAAACCAATCAAATTATGATAAAATCTATTAGCTGTAAAGATAATAATTGTTTGATTTATAAAGTTATAAAGAAGAAAAAAATTGGAAAATCTAAAGTATTTATTATTTGATCATTATTCATTTATTGAATTGAGAAATGATGAAAAATATTATTATACTAATCCATCTTTTATTTTTTTACAATAGTAATATTTTGGCTAATAATATTATATGAATAATTCATCATTTATTCCATCTAAATATTTTAATGATACATTAATGCAAGAATTTAATGGTTTATTTTTTATCATTAACTAAGGATACCAAGGTAGAACTAGAGAAACAAACCAAAAGACCAGGTAATAAAAATTTTAAAGGTTAAAAGTATTAATTTATAAAGAAAAAATGGAAATTTAGATCAAGAAAAATTAATTAAAAATGAATGGATCAAAATTTGCTTTATAAAGTGGAAAGTCAAATCCATATCATTTAATGAAATCGAAACCACTTAATAATGATAGTTTTGGTTCTATTACGAAAACGGTTTGGACAAAAACCAGTCTATAAGAGATTAAAAAATATATAAAAATCAAGTATTGAAAGCTTTTATTCATGAGTTAACAATTCACTTACAAATCAATTATAGTGAGTGAATTGTATGTTACTTAGATATTAGCCTAGGTATCTAATAACGGATTATTTAAATTTATATTTATAAAACATTATTTATAATAAATTAATTGTATTTATTTAAATTTTTTTTTTAATTTTTTAGACCAACAAAACAAATGAATAACTTCTTGTGATGCAATATGCTGATGGAGCGCCCTTCGAAATTATCTTAGTGAAAACTTTAAAAAATTATCTTGGGATGATAAAATAAAAATGGCATTCCAAGTTGAAATGCAATAAAAATCAAAATTTTGTTGAAAAATTCCCAGAGCCTGATTTTCCTAGCAAATTTCCCATATTATGCGTATGAAATTTCTACGACGACTTTTAAATATAAATTACGCAGAGTTTAAACAAATATCATTTTATAAATGAAAAACAAATTTGAATTCCGGATCAGGAGATGGTTTAGAAGTATAGTTATACTTATCGAATAAATAGAAATTCACTAATATGGTTGCCATTATGATTTTAATTTCAAACTCAATAAATAAGATTATTTAACTTTAATAATAAAATTCTTTTTTTAAAAACAAACAAAACAAACAAAAATTTTGATAAATATGTACCATAGAATAATAAAACACGAATTAATATACATGATTTTTTGTTAACTGTTTCATCTTTATTTTTTTTTTAAAAAAGAAAAAATAAGTTGCAAAACTTCCGTGCTTTATGAAATAAATAAATTGGGAAGTAATAAGAAAGAAATGAAGAATTAAAGAATTAAAGATTAATGGTATAGTAATTGCGTTTCCACTGGCTTCATTCACTTTGACCGATTCGAAGTGATTAGGACATCGACTCGATGTGAATTTTTGACCATTCGAATCTTCTAATAGTAGTGTAATGATTTGAGCGCGGCAATCAAGTGCATGCGCACATGACCGCACTATAAAAAAAAAAAAAAAAATGGTCCGCTATGCGCTCTTTCCATTACAATTTTTAGCATTTTCCGCACACATGTTTAGGTCTGAAAATCATACCTGGTATCATGGGAGTCGTTAGACCCTTTTCAGTCGTTGATAATAGCAACTATAATTTTATAATCAAAAATCTTAATGTTTAAATTTTAATTCATGAAAAAGATATATAATTGCTAAAAATTTGTTTGAAATTTTGCGCTGAATTGACATTAATCAAATTTGAAACAGCGATTCAGTCATATTTGAAAATTCCAGAGTCGACTCTGCTTGGTTTTCTGCGGAGTTAACTCCGGCTCCACCAATTTCGCGAAATCGGATTTTGATACATATAGATAGGTACATTGGTCGCTTCGTGAATCAAATTTGTGACTATGCATCGTGAAGCTTGTATATATATACCTACTTATTCTATCGTTACAATCCAGATTCGCGATATGGCCTGGTAACTCACGTCCTTTGATCTCGATGAATCTTTGTAGTTCTTTTTTTTCGCGAAGGACATAATCTTTGCATACAAATGTCAACACCATTTCAGAAAAAAGAAATGATGAGTTTGTTTTTTCAAATTTTAGATTCGTCGATTTTATTAAATTTGTAGAAAACAAACCTTCGTTAATTAGGTTTCATGGGCATACCGCAATTGACACATAATTGTATATGCGAATGAACACGACAATATCAGTTGCAAGGATTTCGTTCAATTTTTGAGGTTTTCTACTAAAACCTTTGCTGGATCAAGAAACACAGAGATAAGAAGTAATAATGAACCATTGAAAGAATGAAAATGAAAAATTTAAGACTGAAAGTATCTAAAGTTTTAAAGTTAGAACCTAAAAAAAAAAAAAATCGCTCCTTTCGCTCATGCATTTTTTCATAAAATAATTAAGAATTTCCTAATTTACTAGGTCGTAATTCCATGATACCACCATTAGACAATAATATAAACGATGATAACAGAAAAAATAAAATATTCGATGGCTACACTGAAGTGTCTGAAAAAAAACATTAATAAAAAATTATTTAAAAAATAAAAAACCTTATATATATAAATTTACCTGAAAGAAATTATCTAAAAAATAGGAACCCATATAAAGAAAGGGACGTAAGATCCGGAAAGGAATCAAAATCGTTCGATCTGCGCGTCTGCTAAAAAAATTAAAAACGACACTGATACTTGCGCCAATTTTCTAAAGAAAAGAATTTTTATCATTTTATTCTGGATCTAACCAGATATAGGTTAGAATAATATTTTCGTAATAAAATTCCTTCATCATGGAAGCAAAAAAAAAATACAAGTTGGATCGTCAAAGTATACACTATAAGAACGTCGGAAATGACTAAACCTCATCTAGAAACTAATCTTAAACCAAAAAATTGAATTCGTGGTTAGTTCAATCAGCGCGGTATAAGCTTTCATTCCTCTATGTATAAAAAGTAAGGGCCAATATTTTTCACCGATCGCTCGTGTCCAAATTTGGAAATATAAATTAAAAAGGAAATACTTTGTCACACAACCAAAGCATTTTTATTTATAAATTTATTTTTTTTTTCCTTACATTTCAAATTTTCAAAATCGCACTTTTCTCGCAGTGTTTATAGATTTTTTTTTTTTTTTAAACTATACTTATTTGTAAAAAACATTCATGTAAAATTTACAACGGATAAATATAATTTTTCCCCTCATTTCATTGTAATTTAAAATGTCTACAAACACAGAGTTTATTGAATGGATAGAGAGATGTATAGAAGAGAGACACATTAAATTTTATGATTATCGTAAATTTTTCAATGTAAAACGGATTGGTAGTGGGGGATTTAGCTCCGTTTATAGAGCGAATTGGAAAAGTAGTGAAAAATATTTCGCATTAAAATCATTTAATATGGATAATGCTACTCTTAAAGAAATTATCAGAGAGGTGCGTAACTTGGGGAGGAAAAGAGTTTTATTTTTTATAAGTTGTATCACATAAATTATCTATTATTATTAACCATTAATTTTCTTCTTTTAATTAGTTGAAGATACATCGAGAAGTTGATTTCAATGATAATATAGTGCGATTATATGGAATAACGAAAGTTGAATCAGGTAAAATAAATAATATTTCGTATGTACGCATTTTTCCTAATTTCAATTCTTTTTTTTTATTATTATTTGTTAGGAGACGCATATCGATTGGTTTTAGAATATGCAGATGGGGGAACACTTCATAAATATTTAGAAAAGAATTTTCACACTCTTAATTGGCAAGATAAATACAATTTTGCGTTACAATTATCAGATGCAATAGAATGTTTACATGAAGAGGGAATAGTACATCGAGATTTGCATTCCAACAATATACTTATACACAAAGAGTCGATCAAATTAGCAGATTTTGGATTAAGTAAGCGTATCGAGAGTAATAGTGCTAATAGTGCATCAAAAATATTTGGTATTATTCCATATATTGATCCCAAAGGATTTGGTAGTACAAGTAAAAACAGAGGATCTTCAACGGATAAGTTTAAATTGAATGAGAAAAGTGATGTTTATAGTGTTGGCGTACTACTTTGGGAATTATCTAGTGGAAAAAAACCTTTTAATGAAGAAGATTATGATCTAAAGTTGATCATTGACATTTCGAAAGGGTTAAGAGAAACTATTGTAGAAGGCACGCCTAAAGCATATTCTGATCTTTATACAAGTAAGCGAATATTTTACAGTTTATTTCAAAAAATTATACATATATATATTATGCTAATTCACATTCAATTCAAATTAAATTTAGAATGTTGGGATGATGATCCAGATAAAAGGCCGACAATTCAAGAAGTTGTCATATCTTTGAAATCAATGATTTCACCATCAAATTCAACAAATTCTCGACAAACTTTTATAATTGTTGAGTCGGAAAAAGAGGATATTAGCAAACGATTATCTCAATCTACAATGCCACATGAAAATATTATAAACGACTCAAATTTAAACTCAGAAGTTATGCCTACATTGCCATCGCAACTCGTTCAAAATTTTATTCAATTTATGAACAACTCAAATTCGGTCATTGAAACTATAACAACGGAGATAGTGGAAGAATTAGTGACGTTATTTATAAAGATATTGAATGAAGGAAAGTCTCATCCACAACGTCGTTCAATCCTAAACAATTACTTAGAATCACATGGTCTCAACCTTGAAAAAATTCATATATGGTTAGCTAATAAAGATTTCACAAATGAAGAAACAAATTGTATATTTTTCTTGGGATATTTAAATTTATTGAACCTGAATTTCAAAGATGCATTTTTCTGTTTTAAACAAGCAGCATTACAAAATCATCCTACTGCTCAATATTATTTGGGAAATTGTTATGATATGGGAATAGGTGTTAAGATTAATAAACAATTAGCATTTGAATGCTATTGTAAAAGTGCCAAACATCCTCAAAATTTTATAGGTAAACATTCGTTAGGAATGTGTTATGAACATGGTTTTGGGACTGAGAAGAATGAACAAATGGCTTTTTCTTTGCTTCAAGAAGCGGCAGATGGTGGATACGGAACTGCACAAGTCAATATTGGTAACAATTATCGCTTTGGAATTGGTGTTCAGAAAGATGAAAAGAAGGCTTTTTATTATTATAATTTATGTGATCAGAATGAACATGCTCATGGTATTGATAGGTTAGGTGATTGTTATAAATACGGCATTGGTACGTCTGTTGATGAAAAGAAGGCTTTTGAATTATATTTGAAAGCTGCTAATATGAATTATAATGTTGCACAATATAACGTTGCCGTTTGCTTTGAAGATGGCATTGGTACAACAAAAAATTCAGAAAAAGCAAAGGAGTGGTATATTACAGCTGCTCATAATGGCTTTGAATTGGCTAAAAAAGGTTAGGGCAATCAACATTGCATTATCTGATCAGTCAGAATTTAATAAATATCATCATTTTATTTTGTATTTAACTTTTGCAATACTTATTATTCTATCTCATTTATCAATAATTGTTGCTTTAATAATAAATGTTTTCAAGGCTTAATTTATTTCAAATAATTTTATACCAAAAAAAAATTCTTTTTTTTTTGTATTATCAAATAGATTAAAATAAATGAGTAAATTTATTCATCGCAGGCGCGATATCATCGCATCCTTTTTGTCACCCGTGCACCCCCTCCCTTTTTCTTTTTCATATATATTCTGGGGACTTAGAAATTTTTTCATGTGTGAAACCCTATTCGTCACATATGTTCGTATCACATGGTTTAGAGTTAGGTTAGGGTTAGGGTTAGGGTAAGGTATATATATAAAGGCGATGTATAAGGAGTATCGCCCCCGCGATGAATAAATTTACTCTAAATAAATCACTTTATAAATGCAAACGCTGGAATATATTTTTTAAATAAATAAAAAAACATACCATTAGGCTGTACTTTTAACTATAAAACTTGCATATATTATCGCAGTAATCTCTTATTCTTTTTTTCTTTTTTTCAAATAATCAGTTTTAGATTGATCAGTTAATTTTTTATCAACATCATATTTGCTTTACTACAAAAAAAATAATAAAATTGAAAAATAAAAAAATTCTTAAAAAATTATTATAAAAAAAAAGGAATTAGATAATTCTAATTATAGTTTAAAATTGATTTAATATAATAAGAATTCTAATAAAATAAATTAATAAATTAATAAAAATTATAGAATTTTGTTATTATTACCGAGAGGTGACAAAAATATTGCACAGTTTTATTTTTGTAATAAAATGTTTTTTATTAGGATAGCAGATCATTTTTTTTATATTCACAATGTTAACCCTACGCTCAGCCGTCAAACTTAGGGTAACTATGACTTAATAATAGGGAGTAACATGCGAGAAACTACTAAGTTACTGTAGAATAAGTCCTATCACAATCAACCTTAAGTTTATTCTTTTAAACAAGTAAATAACTTTAACATCTTATAAACACGATAAACATAATTGATACGTTAAAGGATTTTTAATGTGTATAGTTTTAGAAAGAGATTTCTTTATTATAGAGATTTGTATCCTTAGCAATCCTTAACCTTAGATTCTAAGTCTTGAACTCAAACTATTAAGTTCACACTGTTATCTCTGCCCTTTTGCAAGGACAAATTCCTATTCTATTTATATATAAAAATACAATTATAAAAAATTACTATCTAATGCTAAACTATTTTATAACGCTAAGATAAATATAAAAGATAAATTATAATTTAATAATGATAATAATATAATAAATAATAATAATAAAATATAAGAATAAAATAAATAAAATAAAATGTTAATTAAGTTAAAAATGCTAATGATGTTAATAATATTGATCATTCGTCAATCTTTGTGGCATAGTAAGATTGACTTCATATGGTATCAACAAATAACACATCAATATTTAGTATGTCTTTCTTTAATATTGATTACTGCCTGAATTCTATTTGGCATTAATTGCACTAAATCATGATACACTTTTTGTGATATCGCTTCCCAAACCTCTTTTACCACCTTTTTAAGTTCACAAATATTTGATAGCTGAGGGTTATGTTTTCAAATTTCCACCTCAACTATAGCCACAAGATCTCAATTGGATTAAGATTAGGATTTTGAGTAGACCATGAAAGCACCTCTACATTTTAAAAATGCAGAAACTCTTATGTAACCTTTGATGTACATTGACTTTCTGAAAAATGAATTTTTTTTTGGTTTATCAGGAAAATGCTTTGAGTGTGAGAAATGCATAAGTAGAAAGCACCTCTTTATATACATTTTCAGTTACTAAACCTTCAAGTAGAATAATAGAACCTAATTTTAAAAAGGAAAATATGCCTAAAACATTCTTTGAGAAGAATGTTTTATTATTGATGCAATGCAATCTTCATTAAATTTTTCTTCTGACTTTCTCCATACTCTTTCTTATACAGTTTTTCGAAACTGTAAAAATGTAAACTCATCTGTTCAGATTATCTTTTTTCAGTCTTTTACAGTCTAATATCTTCTTTCAATTGCTCATGTAAGTCATTTATTTTTATTGATTGCTAAGATAAGAGACTTTTTTCAAAGAATACATTTTTCTTGTAAAATCTACGATAAATTATTTTTGTAAAGACTGGCTTATTAATTTTAGCAGAAAATATATTAGTAATTTCTACTAGATTTTTTCATCTTAGTTCTTTATTTTTGAAAACCATTGCCTTCAATCTTTGCCTTTTTTAGCTATTGATTAAACAGGGTCAACTTGGTCATTTTTTATCTGATTTATAAGCTGCAAGAAACCTTGTAACAGTTATTTAATAATATTCTATAGCTTTTGCAATCTTTATATTATTGTGGCCTAATTTTTTGGCTGCAAAAATACCTTCCTTTTGTATAGGAGTTAATTCTTTAGTGAGACTCATCGCATGCGTAAAGTTAAAAATAGTAGAGATTTTTAAATCTGATTTTACAATCTTTAACATATTAAATCAAAATAATAAACAAATATTCTATTTAAGAAATATATAGCAAATATGTTATAAAAATCACATGACTAGTTACATATTAACAATTTATTAAATCAGGTAAATTTTATCGTGTAATATTTTTATCCTCTCTCAGTATATTAAAAAATATAATAATATCTATAAACTGACTTTATTATATTACTTATAAATGTTTTATTTATATTTTTATTTTAAAATCACTTTTTATTCACACAAACTATTTTTCAGTCACCTTTTGCTTGACTATTAATTTTTTGATTTTTTGTATATCCTTTCTAATAATTTATAGTTTTTTTTCTATCTTTTTTTGATTTTTTAATTAAAAAAAAATAATAATTCAATAAATTAACTTATTTAACTAAATTAAGGTTAAAGTTACTAATAAAATCTAAAAATTTTGCAAATTATTTAAATAGTAAAAGGTAAAATTTAACAAAAATCTTATTAAAAATCTGCAAAACTTAAAAAAAAGATAAAAATATATTAAAACTTATAAAAATAGTAAAACTATATTAAAACTATAGTAAAAAAATTAGTAAAATTAATATACAATTTTCTAAATTATAATATTAAGATAAATTTCAAGTTATTAATAATACATTAATATTAACTTTAAATTTTAAATATATAAATTTATAAATATTAAATTTTTAAATATATTTTAAATATTTTTATCAAGGTTTTAATATATATAAATAAATTTAATAAAATAAAAGTAATATATTTTTAATATATTCTAATTATTTTGCTAAGTATCTAATATTATAACTTTTTAAAAATAATTTATTAAAAAAATTGTTTTTATATATCTGATTAATTATTTATATTTTTTGAATATCTAATTTGCTATATTTAATTTATATACAGTGATTCACAAAAGTAATGCAACTATTAAATATAAAACTTTGAATTAATATAACTTTTTATTTATAAATTATATTAAAGTAAAAAAAAGTTATGAGATTTTCTGAATCAAAATTTATTAAAAAATATATTTTATTTTGATTTAATTATATAAAAAAAATTTATATAAGTGATTTTTAAGTTTTAATATTATATTATTTATATATTTTAATAATCAATATTTAACCGATTAGGTTTAAACTAAAAACTATAACAAATTCTTGTACTAATATATTTATTTATTAAATTACATTTATTACTTTCTTATATAATCCTCTTGACTTTTATTACATTATTTATCCTTTCTGATATATACTTAATTAAATTTATACATACATTGACCTCAATCTTAAATTAAATGTCTTGTAATTTTTCTCATAGATCTTTCTTTCCTATAGCTTATTCTAGAAAATATCTTAAATAACATTTAGCTTCATTCTAAAGATATTCTATAAGATTTAAATCTAAGGATTATACTGAGCAATTAGAAATAATTACTTCATTATTAAAAAGTCAGTTCTTAGTAAAATTTACTATATGTTTGAAATTGTTATCATATTGAAAAATTATATTTTCAATACTTAATCTCCAATCTAAAATAGATTCTATAAGATCTTCTTCAAGTATTTGCTAATAAAGTTCCCTATTTAAGCTACTATTAATTATATAAAGGTAGCTAACACCTTTCGCTAAAAACATTTTTAAATTATTATATTACCTTTACCAAATTTTACTGTTAGTTTAATATGAAGACTTCTTAATAGCTCTTCTAATTTCTTCTAATAATACTAGC